GTGGTGAGGGAGGGGTGCAGATCATCCTTACTTGCAGCCGAAAGCTTATCCCAGCCCACCCTGTCAACATTTCTTGTGGGAGGAAACCGGAGAAAATCCAAGCCTTTTTTTACGTAAGTGCCTTTAGCAAATATTTCGAGCACTAAACAGTGAAAATGCATCCCAAATTTCGTTAAAATTGGTGACGCCAATTTCGTAGCTACAAATGTAAAAAAATACAAAACAAAGACGAAAAACATTTACCTTGAATACTTTGTCGTGGCTTAGGCATGTTTTTTAGAACTGAATTAGACCAGTTTATGCTTCAATATTAGTCTTTTAAAGCGGAAAATATAGCGAAACAGCAAAAAAGCAGAGAACTTTGGCAATACGCGTGACGTCGCAGATGGTTTAGACTGTGACGTCAGCTAGTGTCCTATCCATTTATTTTATTATCCATGCTCTGACGATGGCGCCACCAAAGTAGTTGTCATTGGTCCATAGTAGAATGGGTGTCCTTTAAATCCTTCACTAACCGTATTGATTAAAGGGAGCAGAGCTATCCAGTAATTCTATAGTGCACATTTTCATGTAGATATGATCAAATGCGCTTTACATCAAGTATTACGTTTACCCAATTACTTACTGAACCTGTTATTTAAGACGGCAAAAAACGTCGAGCCCGCTGCTCAACAGGATTGAACAATGTTTTGCTGCCCACGTTGTTCACACTTGTCAACAATATTGAACAATATTGTTGAGCCTGAATCGGGTGTAACAACATTGTTCAATATTGTTGACAACTGTGAACAATGTGGGCAGCAAAGCATTGTTTAATCCTGTTTTCATCAGTATTGCATCGACCTGAGCGTTTTTATGCGTGTACTGAATCTTTACAACAATTGTGACATTACATTCTTAACTGTGTTTATCCTAACCCACCCTGTCAACTTTCCCTGTGGGAGGAATCCAGAGCACCCGGAGAAAACCCACGACTTTCGGCAGAGTGTTGACAAACGCTTTTCACATGAATCCGTAGCGAGAATCAAACCCACGATCTCAGAGGTGAGAGGCGCTTGCACTGATGACTGTACAACCACAGAATAAAGACATACAGAAGTGTATCTTCTTATTAAAAGTGCGTAAGGGATTTTTTCAGTCCGCCATGTTCTTAGCAAGTGCCCTAAAGAGAGGAAGTCACCCCCTGAAAACATATTGAAAATTTAATATTCCAGGGGGGTGAATGCCTCTCTTTAGGGCACTTGCTAAGAACATGGCCGCCAGCTATTTCGGCAAAAAAACGCCTTACGGTTTTGTAATGGAAGTTACACTTCTGTATGTCTTTATTCTGTGGTACAACCGAAGCCCCCACTGGTTCAGTAAAGGATTACCCTTACTTCGAGGTTCTAAGGAAAACAGTTTAGAACTGATAAAGTTCCAGTAAAAATAAAATTTTATTTTCACGACCTACTTAATATACCTACCTAAGTACAATAGATCGGGAAGTTTAGCTAAAGCTTTTAGCAAGATCCCCATTGTTCTGTCATCAATTTGACAGTACTGTAACTCGACTTTCTTCAGATCATGGCAAGATCTCAAAATTCTGTAACAACTTTTCAAGTTTTCTGCCAAAAGAAGATTACAGTTATAGAGTTTAAGACTTTGTCGGTCCGTTTTCTTGATCATTTTCAAAGTGATCATATTCTCGTGATTCATTTCACTCAAAATTTCATCGTCAGTTGGAAGGGCCCACATTTGCCTGAGAGTTGAACAAGGAGTTTTGGTTTGTCGGAATTTATTTTCATTAAGCGCTTCTTCTAACCTGAAAAAAGAACGATAAATTTTTGTTAAATGTTATTTTTGTTGGGATCTGTATCAGTTCTGGATATCAAGCGTCACCTTAAACTACCCTTATTTGTATTGGATAGCTCTGTCAATCAATGTGAGTAGCGATTTTCTTTCGAAAGGAAGAAAAGGATTTGCTCTCTCTAATTTCTTTAGGAATAGAATTCCAAAGGTGTGCTCCGTCATACATGAAACTTTTTTCATATTATTAGTACGCGGTTGTGGTAAACAAAGACTACTACTTTATTTGTCTGTGTAGATTTTTTATTTTAAACCTACTTGTGAATTTCTAAATGTGCATGACGTTCCAATATGAAATGATCGTCTTTCATTTGATTAGGAAGCTGCAGAAAATGTCCTTTCTTTGGTGTTAGATCCGCTTCCATCATCTTTTTCAACTAGTTTGATAAAAATGTGGGTTAATGCCTGGTTTCCATCTTCATCATTAATCCTTGATCAGGAAGAGATGACTTTTATTTGACCTCAAGGAAGAACAGTTCAGAACTTGTAGAGGTATCCAGTATAAATAAAGTTAGTTTAGTTTAGGTTTCCTCCTGTAGTACCACTGCATCAATAAGAGATGATCCTTAATGGACCTCAAGGAAGAACAGTTCAGAACTTGTAGAGGTATCCAGTATAAATAAAGTTAGTTTAGTTTAGGTTTCCTCCTGTAGTAACACTGGATCAATACGAGATGATTCTTACTGGATCTCAAGGGAGAACAGTGTAGAACTGATAGAGCTATCCAGTAGAAATAAAGTTAGTTTTGTTCAGGTTAGTTCAGTTGAAGTATCAGGAGAACAGTTTAGAACTGATAGAGTAATAGTTTAATACCTCTCTAAGTCTCTTTTTAGCGTCAGAGAGTCGTCTTTCTTCAATAAGCGTGGAAATATTGTTCACAAGATACAATCTGTATTCATAAGGTAATAAATTATCAACTTTAACGGAGGAACGCTTACAGCAAAACATTATAGCATGAACCGCGCAATGATCGTGCGCGTGGTAATTTATTCTGCGTTTTATGACGTCACTATCATTTCGCATTCTGATTGGGCGAAGACTTTTGCCGTTCAACATTAATTTGTTGATGAGGAAGGAAAACCGGAGCAGTCGGGAAGCCCTCGAAACACAGGAGAGAACCGACCACAATTCTGCTTTCATGAGTTTTTTTAAAAAGCACACCACGTTGGAGCATAGGGTGCCTTCAAGTCATATTCCTACTCTTCACTTTGATCAATAGTACCTCCTGAGTCCCATACGTTCCGCATAGTTCGAGTAGAGAAAGCGTTGTCTAACTTAATTTGCATAAAAGACAGCTGTCAAAATAGAGAAAAATAAATGTACAATTTCATATTCATATACAGCCCAAGCCTCAATAATTCAAGCAAGGTATATTAATATTCATTTGTAGGACAATAACAAACGCAATACTCTGCAGGATATCCACAACAAATGAACTGCTATTACCTGCCAACAGGCCCAACCACTGTTTTTTGTTCTGCAATTTTACTTAAAGTTACGAACTCTAACATCTACTTGTTCTGCTATGATTTGAAATTTTAACGGGAAATTTTTATTCCTGACATTGTTCCAATTTACAGGTGGTGCTAATATATGATCAGCCATCAAGTTGTACATTGAATTAATATATATTTCAAATGGATTACTCTAAGTTATTCTTGGCATGAAAATCGACAGGAATAGCCTTACTCAAGGAACACTTCTAAAAAAGAAGTGTTTTAAAAGCCCACAAGTATAAATAACGCAGTATGTTTTTAATATCCCACCGACCAATATAAATTAACCAAGTCTCAAGAGCAAGGAAGGCGAGCACCTGTCCTACATGCGTTCGCTTTGACAAACAAATTAGTTGCTATACAGCCAAGCATTGAGTAACTTTCCTATATACAATAACAAATTCTTTACGAAATTGTACTGCTAGAATATGAAAATTAAATTTTAAATGAAAATTGTTCAAATTATTTTCCCTTGGCAACATATGCGCAAGGAAATTATTCAAATTGTTAATACATTTTGTTTCAAGCAGAGTAAGCTTGGCATTTATTGCGAAGAGGATTCGATACTTGGGCAATATTTGTAGATTATTTTGAGGAAAAGCTGGAAAAATGTTAAGTGGAACTCGTCTAAGAGGGAGCAGGACCAAGCGAGCGGAGAAGTATGCAGACGAAGAAACGGAATCGATGCTTGTTGACGCTGATTCTATTAAAGTATTTGTCGAAAACACGCCAAAGTTTTTAACCCAAGGTGAACGTAAGACATTGACACAGCAAAGTTCAAGCACAAATGTTAAAGACTGTAATGCAATGCTTTTTGAAGGTAGAAATTGGAGGGTTGATATCTCGGCTGACGTTTTGGAAGAAGGAGAAAGGGAGCAAGATGATTTTGCCACAAATACGACCGTACGTTCATCGCGAAAAGCAAAAGGCCTTGCGTTTTTAGTCGAGGACAGGGAATCTTGTTTTAATCCTGAAATTGCTTTATCAAGTCCATTATATGATTGTGAAAACGATCTATTCAAGTCAAACTTTGATAAGATTACCCGTGGAAGAAAGGTCGGAAACCGTTTGGGAGAAAATTTATCGCAAATCGCATCAGACGGTTGGGAATTATGCAATGAAAACGACCACAACGAGTCGAATTTTAGATTTATTGACTCGATGAAGAAAGGTGCGAAGAATTACAGTGAACGTCACACCACAAACGCACCGAAAGATGACTTAACTTCGGAGGATAATTTAGTTTTTTCTGATATTTTTAAACAGAAGATAAAAAGTACAACGTCTTGCCAACAATCTCGTGCAAAAAGACAGCAAAATTTCCGCAGAGTTCGTAGCCAGTCAGAGAAAAATGTCAAAAATCCCACGGAACATAATCTATTCACGGATTTTAGTCTCTCCGACGAGGAATCGTCAGATAAAAGTACTCTACGAGGGTTTCCATGGGGGAAAAGTACCCCCGGTGTTTTGCTCCCCGATTGTAGTACAGTGCGAGGTATACACCCGGGAGAAAGTTGCATGCGAAGTTTATCTCTGGAGGAAAGTACTATGGGGGATTTGTACTCGGGTCCAGATGCTCTAGAGAATAGAATCTCTGAACAATCCTCGAAAGAAGATCCTTTGAAATTAATGGAAGACAGCGAAGATCTGGTGAATGAGCTCAGCACAGGGGGAGATGAATTCACTGATAGCCAAGGGCAGCGAAGTTTTGTTTGTTTGGTCGATCAACTTACCGACCTGCGAGTCAGGCAGAAATTTGTCGCCCATTATGCGGGCAGGCGTCGTCAGGCAGTGTGCGAGGAGTTAGAAAAAGCGTTGGTGTGGAAGGAGAAGTGCTTGTATGAGCACAGGCGAGATTTGAATATTAGAAAGGCTCTGAGCAACATGTTTTTGTAGCATGTGTCATGTGCGTCTGTTTGTCTGTACAGCACTCACTACAATCTCGTGAGCATGTTCGTAACCAATCTCGTATCCAGAGTATGCCCGTTCGCAGGTTAGGTGCTGGGCATGACTCTGGAGAAACGGGATGAAATTATCAATTTCATTGGCTGGCGTGAGATCAATAACACCGATACCGGAAATTGGTGTTCAAGTGCGGGAATTACACGTGGAAATTCACGAATACGACGTAAACAAAGTCGAAATTGCATTTATTTGCAAGATTTCAAATACAAGTTAATTGTTACATTTAATCTGATTGAGGATTTATACGTACGATCTGTACACTTTTGTATCTTGTATTATGGCAAATACTTTTTGTTTGTTTATATATAAATTACCGATATGATGTAACAAAATATTTACTTCAATTCAATTGCGCTAGTGATCGCCAGTGTTGGGATTTTGGCTTGTTCTGGACCTGTGTTTGCCGTTTGGAAATAGCCAGCATTGAATTTTTGTTTGGATATAATACTCTACTTTTGAGTATACCATAATATTCTTGTAACTTTATAAATATATGAAAGTATTAAATTATGTGAGCTATGGATCTGTTACAAATACATCAAGGCCATATTATAGTAGTGGAATATTCGATGAAAGTAATAATTTTATCTCGAATTTTATAACAAACCTACTGTTAATTTAAGCCCTCCACATCCTCTCAAATTGAGATTACAAGCTATAGTTTCTAGACTCCATGCCTGAAATAAATAAGCTGCTTGGCCAGCTTGGGGCTTAACAGAAAATAAACAGGACAGCAGTGTAGGGTGCAAACCACTCTCCCATTTCTGAAAGCCTTTGGATGATACAGCATCCATGAAAGCATAGGTTGGGAATAAAATAAGCTATAAATTGCCAGAATTTTGAGGTAAAATTTAAACGACTGAGATTTAGAGCACCATAAGGTGTTCATGTTGTGGCAACCGAATGCCTTCCCACCAAAAGTATCTGCTACTGCAGTAAGAGCATACAATTTGATGTGCTGAAATTATATATGCTAACAATGTCAGTATGGCTACGACTAGTGGTGTAGTCCTGGAATGTTAACAAGGGGGCTCTCCAACAGGGGCAAAACTTCTGTATTATGGCTGGGGGAGGGGGGGGGTGAGGTTAACTTGTTTTGCCTGACCAAAAGGGTTGTTTCCAAAGTCACTCCTGAGGGACGAACATTTGATCAATCGCTAATTAATATTTCTTTTCCCAAAATTGTTGGTGAGCGGGGAGCATTTTTCACTACCACTTTTTCCTACCACTATTACTCTTCAATCTGAGACACTCAAATATTTTCAAAATTTGCCCGACTAAATTGTATGGGTATACCCGATGAGATAGAGACAGGGGGTGTCACCCCTCCACACACACCCCCAGGTAGTTTTGTCCCTTTTCTCCAAAATTGTCCTAAACTGGTGGAGGGGGGTGGCCTAAGTCCCCCAGAACCCCTCCCCTACTAGACCACTGGCTACGACAATGCCATAGTGGCAGCAGGTCATCCCACATGTATCTTACATTCCGCCTGCAACATTATATAGTTAATGTACAGTACATATTTAATGGGAATAGTAGCTAGTTACCTTGACTTGGCCATATACCGGTTGCAGGCATACATCAGCACATGTAAGTTTTGATTTATCTCCCAGGGATATGAAGCAATGTCAGGAGGTCAGGGTAATGTAGCTTACCCCATAACCCCAATAATGGCAGATTTCCCAATCAGTGCCCCCAGTATTCGGATAGGCAATTTAGCAACACCCTGCCTTGCCTGCCACCTTTCAGACAGGCACCCAACCTGATGACATCAGTCTGTGTTAATTGTTAAACCCATAGATAGGTCTCCTATATCTATGGTTAAACCCAATAGTTATGATAAATGATAATATTTATATCAGCAAAAACATTTAAAAGTTCAAACACTATGTCATAATTCCATTTAATTAAGTTATTTTCAAGCATAATTAATTGTCAACATAATTTTTTATGACTCAATTAATAAATAAATTAAATAGATATAACCATGGAACTGTTTGTATGAATGTAATGCAATGTACAATGCAGTGCCGTAGCCAGAACGATAATTGGGGGGGGGGGCACATATTCATATATTCGTGTTCACATACCATAAAAACAATTGATTTCAAAAGAAATTAATAAAGCAGAACACGAATATATGAATATGTGCCCCCCCCCCAATTATCGTTCTGGCTACGGCACTGGCACAATGTTAAATCAAAGGACAAAGGGATGATATAGCTAGAGACCTAGAGTATTAACAGAGGGAAGTATTTTCATGCTTATTTTAAATATCAATACAATGCACCAATTAAAGTATCACTATGTGATTGTAATAAACAAAATAGGCTAACAGGTCCACAATTGCCCATAAAGCATTCTACATATTTTAATATTATAAAAACGTCTAATAGTTTGTATAAATAATCTAGATCCTGTATAAAACCTCTGTCAGTGGCCTTCTTGCGAAGTCTCTCGATACCATTTCTTGACCGTATAAAATCCATAAAAATGATTGGTTTATATACACCGCATATATATTTACTCTGTAACTTTTAGCACAAGAAAATAAATCTTTTTCAATTGATTTCAATGTAAAAAGTATCAAATTTTCGACTGAATTCTACGATTTTATTTATAATTGCAATTAATGACGCCCGCGCGAATTCAGTGTTGCGGTTTGAGCGTGAGCATGCGCACAACTAACCGGATATCCAAAATTGGATATCCGGTATTCCGTTTCTCCAGAGTCATGCCCAGCACCTAACCTGCGAACGGGCATACTCTGGGTACGAGATTGCAGCCAACAGCTCTGAGCCAACAGGAACATTGCAAATTCCCTCAAGGGTTTGCAAAGAGTTTTTCAAATTTGCAAATCTAATGAGGAAAATTCCAAATGAGTTACGAAGTCAAAAGAGGAACGCTTCACGTAGTTTACCTGTAATATAATAATAATAATTACCTGAACGAAATGTTCTATAAATAGGTCAAGACAGTGGTTTACAAAATGCCGTTCTCTGAAATGGCTTCTTTTGCAGGAAGCCAAGAAATTAATGTACTTTCCAAAATTGTAATTTAGTCGTTCTTTTGGGTCCACTTTATTTATCATGGAATTACTTTACTACGAGCTCTTTTAACAATACCTGTAGGATACTTTGTTATTTTGTGAAATAAAACTGCATCAGCGCAGCAAGGTGTGTCCCATGTGTTTACGAGACCAAACAACCAAAGATGAAAGACCTTATTTCACTCTTTTACAACAATCTAAAATGCCTAAATACTAGATTATTCATTTTATTTGAGCACACAAATTATATTCTTATACAATTGTCACAATTGGTCCTTGTAAAGGACTTATTTCAAACTAAAAAAAGACATTTTTTTTTAAAAGATTGAGTCAGATTGGGCTATTCCATTTAATATCCGTACCCCCCCTGTCGAGGATACCTGGAATTCTTCAGGGGTAGAGTGTTTTGAGCTTGGAATTCTTCAGGGGTAAAGGATTTTGAGCTTGGAATTCTTCAGGGGTAAAGGATTTTGAGCTTGGAATTCTTCAGGGGT